ATCTAAAATAATTTTATAAGATAACATAGAATCTAAGCATACATGATATAAAATCTAGTCATGCAATATAAAAAGTGACATAAGCAACTATAGCCAGTAATATACAATAAATATCTGATAAATAATATAATAATAATCTAATAAAATAATATAGAATCTACAAAAATAATATAAAATAATTACGTGGACGTGTTACTACGTGTAGTCTGACGTAAAGTCAGGATATGACGTCACCCTTACGCAATCCTTGTACTGCGGGCTCACATATCAAGACTTCCTTCTGCTCGGTGGCCATTTTGATTCGAAACACAGATTAGTATTAGTCAACGAACTACCAGTTATTTCCTGTCAAAATGTCCACTAGAGCCCAACGCGAAAAAGGACAAACACAGAACGCGAATCAAGCCATCCTTGCTGGTCTTCTAAAGGAAGAATCGAATAAATACTGTTCAGACTGCGGCGCAAAAGGTAAGCTTAAGTACGTTTGATCAGAAGTCTCTCTTTGGTTTGTTCAACTTCCAGTCTTTTTATTTCGGTTGTTTTAACCATTCTTCTTCTTCTAAAGGACCAAGATGGGCATCATGGAACCTCGGAGTGTTCTTGTGCATTCGTTGTGCTGGAATWCATCGTAATTTAGGCGTACATATCTCGAAAGTAAAGTCCGTGAATTTGGACTCATGGACTCCTGAACAAATGACCGTAAGTCTTTCTCGGTTGTTTCGTTTTTGACACCATAATTCTACACCGTTTGAACTCTTTGGATCGTCAACCTCATATATGCTATATATTTTTTCTCAGAAGATACAAGATTGGGGTAATAGAAGGGCTGGTATGTACTGGGAATGCTTCTTACCTAAGGATTTTCACCGACCTCAGACAAATTCGTAAGTGTGTTGATCAAAATTCACATTACTAAACCCAAACATAATGATTTGTCTTGAACGAATAACCAAACCAGGATATTCGATGATTCCGGTCAAGAATATATTACCTAGAATATGTGGAACATGGAGATCTTTTATAACGTGTTGAAGTTGAACGTCTTTGATATTATATTGTTTTGCCAATGTTCACTATCTTCAGACTCGTACTTTGATTTTTTAATCTAAATTCTAGATAATTTAAGTTTCTCTTTTCGTTTTTTGTCTTGTTTTTGTTTTCAAGCATATTTCCTTTCATATTTATTTTTTGCTGAAAATAAAATCTGAAACAATGTACAATTAAGGACATTTAAATACTATATATAGGGTCAATGATTACCTGTAGATGATGTTTCTCATTACGTATGGAACTGGA